TCTCTCTCTCTCTCTCTCTCTCTCTCTCTCTCTCTCTCTCTCTCTCTCTCTCTCTCTCTCTCTCTCTCTCTCTCTCTCTCTCTCTCTCTGCGGGCTGTTTGTGCAAAGGTGGAAAGGCTTGGTGAAGTGCACTCGAACGTGCTTGATTTTGTGCGGCTGTGTGATGGGCGACTCAGGTTAGTGTGTGTGTGTGTGTGTGTGTGTGTGTGTGTGTGTGTGTGTGTGTGTGAGATATATATATATATAGAGAGAGAGAGAGACCCAGCCACTCTGCGACCCTCCGCCGGCCCGCGACCCCGGCCCAACCCACACCACACCCGGACCAACAAACCCCCACCCACCCCCTTCATTTTTTTTTGTGGGCGAAGCTGCAACAGGTAGGACGGATTGCCAAACGCCACATCTGAGCAGAAACAGCGCCTGGAACAGCTCTCAGAACACTCAACAGGTATGCCACCACCAAAACAGGGCCCACGGCCCCTCTTCCCCACTCCCCCCTTCCCTGACGACACCCCTCTTAATGCCATGCAACTTCTCCTCCTTTGCGAGCGAAGCCGCAACAGGTCGTCTAGTCCAAATAAGAAAACTATGTTATGCAGAAGCGAAGCCGCAACAGGTTATCTAGTCCAAATAAAAAACTATGTTATGCAGAAAAATAAACTGAGCAATCACATCGAAGTTCTTCACCAAGCCCATTGGGCCCCCTTGCATTTGAAAAAAAAAAAAAAAAAAAGTTCTTCACCAAATCCAGCGGCCTAGCGCAGTTCGTTAGGCAAGCAAGTGGCATTCAGGAGGTTGTGGGTTCAAGCCCCATGGCCGCCTGCGGCGCACTTAGTGCCAATGGACTGTGATAGTCCTCTGGATATGCCCGATCGGTATTAGCGGGGTCTATGACCAACAGGGGTGTGAGTGTGAGCGCGAGTGGGTTGTGTGCGGTGTGTGGGAGAGTGTTGGCCATAGCCTCTGCTGCTACTCGATGAAGGGTGGGGGACGATGAGAAAGGGAGGCACAGCTACTGGCAGGTCTCAGCCTTTGTCTTAGCCAGACCCCCACTGGGGGCCCCAACCCTATACCCTAACCATTAGTGGTAAGGGCCAACATGAAATCCCCCCTTCACAGAGAGAGGAAAACTATGCTTGCAGGGGTTCCCTCTAGATAGTCTTAGGAGTAGGTAGTAGAAGGCAAACAAAAACAGAAGTTGAGAGAAGAATACAGACAGTTGTGATCACCCCATAAAAAGATTAAAAAAAAATAATAATAATAATAATAATAAATATATATATATTATTATCATTTTTATTTATTTATTTTGGCCCGGCCGGGCAAGTG